TGTTTGACCAAATATAGCAGACTAATTTTTTAAACATAATTACATGGCCGGCAAATGATATTGTAAATATCCAAATGACCCTTGGCAGAGAAAAGGTTTCCCACTCCTGCCCTAGGGCAGTGGTCAGCAAACCGCGGCTCGCGAGCCACATGCAGCTCTTTGGCCCCTTGAATGTGGCTCTTCCACAAAATACCACGTGTGGGCGCGCACATACAGTGCGATTCAAACTTCATGGCCCATGCGCAGAAGTCGGTTTTCGGCCTGGGCGAGTCTATTTTGAGGAAGTGGCCTTAGAAGAAGTGGGGGGTGTCAGTCGGTTGGGTAAGGGGAGAGGCGGCGCAGACGGGCCAAGGATACGCAGTGTGCGGGGGAGGCATTCATGCAGGAGTTGAGTGAGCCAGTCAGTCAGCAGTCTCATTGTGCAGTGGTTAGTGCTAGTCGCGTCCGCAAGTCGTGCGCAGGTGACAAAAGTACCTACTCAAAGCATGAAGTTACCTTTATTTTTCCAACCAGCTGCAAATCCTACAGGTATTTTTGTCATCAATTTAAGAATTGTAATTCTTTTGTGTTGGTGGCTTTGTTATTATAAAATGAAACATTTTTTTAGGTGCCCTGTTTGAGATGGCTACAAAGAAGCAAAGAAAAACGGAAGACGAAAACCGTGAATTTAAAGTTGAATTTAAAGTTGAATGTACCTACCTATATAGTTTAAGTTTAAAAAATTTGGTTCTCAAAAGAAATTTCAATCGTACTGTTGATATTTGGCTCTGTTGACTAATGAGTTTGCGGACCACTGCCCTAGGGTAACAGCAAAAGTTCTGATGTCAGAATGACTTCATTTGAATATTTATTATTACTCTGAGTAACTAACTATATGATCTTGAGTAAAACATTTTAACATCTCTGAACTTTAATTTTCTTTGTCTAAAATTGGGATAATAATATTACCTATCTGATATTGTGTAAATAATTAAATGAGTAAAGATTAGTAGAGTGTTTATCATATAATAGATACTAAAAATGGTAGCTATTCATATTACAGAATGACAATGACTAATAATAGCATTCTACCTATAGGTAGATGGGCATTTAGTAGGTAATAAAATCTTCAGTTACATGGATAAATCTCTATAATAGACACTTAAGAAACTTCACTTACATAGCCAATCTTCTCAGGACATGGACCTATTTTTATTTTATTTATTTTATTTTATTTTATTTTATTTTATTTTATTTATCCTCATCTGAGGATGGTTTTTTCCATTGACTTTAAGAGAAAGTGGAAGGGAGGGAGGGGGGATGGAAGAGAGAGAGAGAGAGAGAGAGAGAGAGAGAGAGAGAAAGAACAAAACGATGTGAGACACAATGATTGGTTGCCTCCCGCACCCACTACGACCAGAGCTAGGGATGGAACCTGCAACCCAGGTACTTGCCCTTGACTGGGAATCAAACCTGACACCCTTCGGTGCACAGGCCAACTCTCTATCAACTGATCCACACTAACCAGGGCATGGACCTATTTTGTAGTTAAGCTTTACAGTATAACTCGTCAGTGTCTGAAACAGAAATCACTCTTTTGTTATGAAACACAATGCAATATCAGTAGCTTTTAGGTCTGAGACAACATATAAAACAGGAATAATATAGAGTATTCAGGGTAATCAAGGTACAACACCCATAATGAGGTCCTCTCTTTAGTGTTTCAAGTACCTCAATTTGGTCAACAGGTAATAGGCCATAATTCTATAAGTTAGTATGCACCTGGGTAACCTATCAAGAAACAAATGGCCTTAGAGAAGAATGCAGCAATAAAGATTCAGAGGAAAGCAAAAGGGAATAAAAAAAAGAGACAGTGAGGAAGGTGCAATCATATATTTGTTGTTCATGAATACATCTTCATTTACTTAGTAGCTGCAATAAAAGCAGGGCTAAAGTCTAGGAATAATAGTATTACTTAACAGGGTTTTGGAATTGGAATCTCAATACTGAAGTAGAAAAAAGCAGAAGTGATGGTCAAAATATTTAACAGCTCTAATGAATAAGAAGTGTCCTGGGTAGGATTGGAGTTGGGTACTAAAGCCTCTTTGTCTGTTCAGTTGCTGGATGATAAGAAGATACAAGGTTCCCAAAGAAGGAGTCAGAATGACCAGGATACCCATGGTGAGAGGACTTGCAAGGTTAGGGATAGCAGCTTCATACCAATTGGCATGGAGATATTTCAGCATGTTTAGTAATCAGTAGAGGTATGCTGGAATGGCAACCAAATAGCGGTCCTGGATACAAGACTCAGACTAGATTATTAACAGGGTAAGCAGGCAGAACTATCAACATGCTCATAACTTTCAAGGCTCTAAAATTAGATTGTGATGATTTACTTTTGCTCTTTGATTCTAAATAAGCTGGACTGTAATCTCAGTGAAAAGCAGTAACTGCATCAATTTTGTTCACCATTTATCCCTATCACCTATCACAGTGCTCAATAAATATTTGTTTAATGAATAAGTAGCCAGTCAGTTCCTCCTAGTACCTGGAGTGTCCTGAGGATACATCTATCTAGAGGATAGAAAACTCTGAAAATCATTCTGATCTTGAATTGGCCTTGGAGGCATGCTAAGAGTCTAGGTTCAAGCTGGTCCTATATTAGTTGAACCCTTAGATATCAATTCCTAAGTCTCACCTAAGGAAAAGAATACAAGTGTGCTCTACAATTAAATAGTGTCTCTAAAGTGGTGCTAAACCCTCAAAGGAGAGGGGCAGAACCACACAAGTCATCAGAGTCCTGAGCTGTTCCTTAAACTTTTTCATCTACACAAATTCTATTTGGTAGATGTAGGTCCAGTTTACAACTGTAGAGATAAATAAATTTCAGGAAATAGCTTACCTATGAACTTCAGTCACTGTCAGATGAAACCAAGGTCTTATGACAATTTAGGTCTCATGGTAAAGCGGCTCTATTCATTTTGGGAAGTAAAAACCAGAACTACATTGCAATTCTGTAATCTACAAATTTCTCATCTTTACAAAAAATAGCAGAACAATTCAAAGAATTAGCTGCCTATAACAATAATTCAGTATTTGTAATTGATGTCAACATACTGTAATTTGATTTTCATCATTTTATAAATATGTTCTTTTCCATTTTTTATTTTTTTATTATTTTTAAGGGATTCAGATTTTATTTATCTAAATGCAATGGTGTATCTTTTCTTCCATTTTATAGATATGTTCTAAAATATAATTATTTGAAGGCTATTTCATAAAATTGTGACAAATGATGCTATACCATTACACTATAATAATTATAAAACCAACAGGAAATAATAAGAACATTTTAATAAATTTTTACTAGACCTTGAGGAAAGGAATACAACAACATGATTGGAGAAGAAAAGTCCTAAATTCCCAATAAGCATTTTTTCCAAAAGACAGTTATCTTGATTTTAACTTATGAGAACATTTTTTTGCCATCATTTATTTATTTTTGCTTTCAAATATAATTTTATTTATCATGGATTTTCACACATACATAACTGTGTATGTGTAAAAATCCACGTGATCACTAATGCACAAATCTTATTAATATATAATGCAATCATAATAATTCTACAACAAATAAATACAATCTTATTTTACAAGCAAAAGTGCATGCCGATCATTTTACTATATCTAGGAGAAGTGTACTAGTAAGCTGCTAAGTGTAGAGTTTTGTTTCCAAGTCTGCAATAAAACAACATTATTTTGGGTATGTTTTGTTACTTAATTTACTTAGTTTAGATTTCAAAATCACTATAACATCCTGCTGACTTTTATCCTTAACCAAGATCTTGATTGAGGATAATCTGAGAAGTGTCAAAAATTGCCAAGAGAGCCTCTTCATTTCTAGATGGTGGTTCTCTATGTACTTTGTCCTATTTACCTGTATATTTTCTTTCCTCTCAACCCTTAAAACCACCATGCACACATAATGACATAAAAAAAAGTTGATGCCTGCCTCGGGAAAGTTAGAAAGCACCAGGTTTCTTTTTTCCCCCCTCAGGGGAGAGCGCAAACTCAGTCCCCCACTACTACAAATTATGCAGTCAAGTTTCCCATATTTGGGGAAATCTCAGGGGTCAGCACATCTGGAGTGCAATGGATAAACCTCACCCTGGGACAACCACCTTCTTGATCATGGTATCTCCCCTGCCAGGTAAGTATAGAAAGCACCAGGTTGCAATTGCAAATTTCAATGTCAAATTCTATTTTTCTTAAGCCTTTCTTCCATACTTTTCCAATGCTATTTTTTTCCCAATGCCATTTAAATCCAACTTTAGTTTGAAGAATTTCCTTTAGGCTATTCTTACTGTCAGTGTCAAAATATCTGTATGTATGTTAAAAATAAAAGAAAGAATAAGCATAATCCATAAGATTTTAAATATTTTTGTGGCAAATAAATGGTTCTGTATGATATCATTTCTAGTGATCCTTTCAGTAGCTGAAACAATAATCCTTTCCTCGTCTCAATTTTGTACCACTTTTGTGGTAAATAAAGCTGATGAGCAAGAGTGAGGTAATCAATTTGGGGTGCCAGTGGCAATTAAATAAATAAGCCATACAGAATTTACAAACATGAATGTGGCAACCATTAAAGATGTCAAAATAATTAACAAACATGGTCATACAGCTTAATTATTAAAATTGTCTCATAAAATAATACAGATATACCATTGATGAAATAATTTCTGTTTTCTATTTATTGATTTTAATGAGAGAGAGGAATGGAGAGAGAGAGAGAGAGAGAGAGAGAGAGAGAGATTTGTGCCCCGACTGGGAATTGAACCCACATCCTTGGCGTATGAGGATGGTGCTCTAACCAACTGAGCTACCCTGCCAAGGCCAAATAATTTCTCAAAAAATGTAATAACCACAGCCCAAAGGAGGCCTGATGTGACCTGACAAAGCAGAGAAAACTATTGTTACTCCAATCTCTTAAGTCAGTGCAAGGAACCTATAATTGGTTTTTATATTACATGTGATACAAATTCCCTACTTCTCTGTTTTGATATTTGTAGGTTAGGAGTGCTGAATTCAGAACTGCTTCCATGGGAAATGTTATAGAGATTACATCTTGAAAAAGAATGTAGGAGAGCTTCCCGGGCTTTCGAAGCCTCTACGTTCTGCTCTTGAGAGATTTGAAGGCTAAACTGATTTACATTATTCATTAGCAAATTAGAAGCCATAAGGTTGGTTATAGAGAGGCACTTAGTGAGATTTTCTTCCAAAAATTGTTTGTAGAGTTCATCCAGCTTGTTTTCCATATACTTATTAAGCATAGAATTAGAGAGAGGCTGCTTATGAAACAACATACTTTTTTCTCGAATTTCATCCCCATTCAAAAGTTTTGAGGCAGATAGTTTCTCTAGAGGCTCAATGATGGGAGAATGGCCCAATGGTATATCTACTGAAAGTAAAAGGGGACCATTAAGAGCATCATCACGTATGTGTTCCACAAAGCAGCCTGAATCATACATGTTGCCCACGTGGTCTCCTCCAATCTGTAGGTCAGGATAATTCTGGCAAATACTTGTACATGACCAAGATCGGTATAAATCCAGTTGTCTTTCATCACATTGTTCTCTTTTTGGAATGGGCAGCGCAACAGACAGATTTCCTGGAAAGGATGCACTTTTGCATTTTGGTACAGTTATTTCATCCACAAATTTTATTTTATTTGTATCATTAATTTGCTTTGTTAAACTTTCTTTCTCAACCTTTTGTTGATTTTCTATTTTATCAGGAGAAAGTGAATTGTCTTCTATATCTAAAAGCTGCTTTTTCCAAGTTTCCTTTTCATCATTTGAGGTCTTCTTACATGTAAGTGGTTTACAAAATGTTGTATATTTCTGTTCTTTGTATAGGAGTTCAAGTAGGAAGGCTTCTCCAAGCATTTTATTAGTCAAGATTTCTAAACAGAAGAGTGCAGTATATTCCTGAAATTATAAAAGAATCCATTAAGGCAACATATATTAAAATGTCAAAGTAAGATGTTTCTTCTACATGAACCACAAATGATTTAGGGAGGTAGTGTTACTCAAAAGACAGAAAATAGGACCAGGAATAAGGAGATTTGGGTTCCAATTAGGCCATTAACTTTTTAAATTTAAATTCTTTATTGTTTAAAGTATTACATATGTCTCCTT